TCCATTCAAAATAACATTTGAAAAATTCAAATTGATAATAATTTTCAACTAATTTTTTCAAATATTTCAACCATTTCCAACAAAAAAAAAAGAAAAAAAGGGAAAAAAACCGCTCGTAGTTGGTTAAATCAGTGGAAATAATTGCATGATGGAGCAGGCAAATGGGTGGACTGAATGAATGGACGAATGGACGAATGGACAAACAAAAAGAGCAATGAATGATTCATTTTATAAAATTTAATTTCACTGCACCATATTTCAAAAATTTTCACTGAATGTTATTCTTTTCAATAATTTAGGGCAATTCTTGGTTATGGGGAAATAAAAAAAAAAAAGAAAAATCGATTGCTTCAAATATTAATATATCAAATATAAAATCGATTGCTTCAAATATTAATATATCAAATATAAATCGATTGCTTCAAATATTAATATATTAAATATTTAATTTCAAATTAAATGAATTAATAGTTGAGCAATTTATCAACTTTATGATATTGTTTGTTGATAATTGAAAATGATTTAAAATAGATTGCTCGAATTGCTGATATTTATTTGATAATATTGTAAGAAATAGTGAAATTCTATGAAGGAGAATGAAATCTCGAATATCCAAATAATAATGCTGAATACCTAAATCATATCATAGTAATTAACGAATTAATGAAACGATTCATTTGATGATTATAATTGTTGGAAAATTTTGAATTAATAAATAAATCAAAAAAAAAAAAAAAGGAGAAAGTTATAAAAGAAGAAAAGAAAAAAAACCCTGCTCATTCCGAAAGAAAAAAAAAAAAAACCTAGAAAACTAGAGTAAATTTCATCCTGTTGTTAGTGTACTATTATATATCAATCAAAAAATGAAATGTTGAAAATCAAAAGTTACTTATTGAATTGTTCAATACAAATTAATTAAAAAATTGCTCATTTAAAAAAAAATTTTTTTAAAAGACACAGAAAATTTAGTTCTGTTAATGTGCCATTCCATATCAATCAAAAATTGAGTGTTGAAAATATGAAAAATTAAAAGTAATTAAGTATTGATTAAATGATTAATAATAATTACAAGTCTAACAATTAAATAAAAAACTAAACAATTAAGACAATTAAAAGTAATTCAATAATTAAATTGATTAAAAGTCTAAATGTAAACATGGTACCATTTCGTGACAATAGGTCATTCTTACATTCTGAACCATTAGCATATCAGTAATCAAGGATAGTTATCAAAATGTGTCAAAAATTCAATTGACATAATAATGATTGATTTTTCGGCATAATGTTGTGTCACTTATGCATTCCTTGAAAGAAATAGGACATCCAGAAGGTTAGGAATGAAATAATTACCTCAATACGATCAATAAAATTATGCAAATCCATTTTTCACATTTACATCAGTATCGAGTTTTCTTCTGACTTACAAATAACAGTATTGAACAACAGTAATCAAATCAAAAACCGATAGCAATACCGATACTGATATCGATGATCATACAGAAGGTAAGGATGTCTTGCAAAGATGTGACATGAAATTGTCAACTGAAAACGATTGGAAGAAGTAGGGAGCATTATAAAGGACTGAAGTACTTTCAATACTACAAATTGATTAAGGATTCGTTACATTTACATATGGAAAATACTTTAGAAAAGTTGAAAAAGTAACAAAATCAGTAGGATCAAATAGAGATAACATTATTCATGCAATAAATAAAATTGACAAAATAGGATACTGTAGGTAATAATGGCAATAGAGAATGATCGGAGCAGTAAAACAGGTAAATATCTTCAAGATAAGGATTAATGATAAGGATAGAACTCCTTGAAAAAAAAAATGACCCTGGAATCTTACATGTTAAGCAGATATGTCGTTTCCAGAATCCGCTTAGGCATCTTATGATCATCCAGATCATCAGAATATTTGAAAACATTAATAGAAATCATAAATGAATTCATCTATCATTAATCGATTAGCTTTAAGATGTCCTAGGACTTTCTAATTTATGAATTTAAAAGAAAATATTCCATGGTTTATGAGATCCAGGCAATGCAAAAGATATTGTTCAGAAGGTCATAGGACACAATACCTTTAATAATTTTAAGATTAGGATAGATTTTAGGATGATATATAATGATGGATAGCAAATTTTGATAATATTTATGGTAAAAAGTATCGCAATTTTTAATTTAACTTGAATTTGTTTTTAATGTCAGTTGTTGATTTACTTTAAATTTAAGCTAAGATGAAATAAAATGTACATTTCTTGCTGGAATTTAAACAAAATCAAAAAAGAATCTGAAACATAGCACTAATCCCACCAAATTATGTCACATATCCTTTGATTATTACAATAGTTTGTCACCATATTGCGTTAACAGTCTCCATTCTTCAATATTTTTTGTCTTCAGAACATAAATCACAAATATGCAAATCAATCGGAAGAAACTATCGGCCATATTCTTTTTCAAATTTTCCCATTGAACAGGCTAATCGAGAGAAGAAAAAAAATAGATCAACCATAAACGGAACCAAAAAGATGTAAATTGATGATTGAGGACTACTACAAACCTTTCTGTTAATCCATACTCATCCAAATCTTCTCTAATATTGCCTCTATTAATACTACCATTTGTCACCTATGGATGACATACCTAAGGACCTAGAAAATTCCTTGGGGGAAAATCTATTATTCCGATTCGTTTTTTTTTTTGTATTTTTTATTTCAGTACACAATTTGAAAAATTGAAGCAAATCATGAATCCAACAAATCTAAACAAAATGAATGGACATGCAAATTAAGGCACTGATTAGTAAATAAGTTAATGGTAAAATGACCGTATAAGTGAACTAGACAAATTATATGTAATTAACTAAGCAAATGAATAAAAAATGGAAAAAGTTACAAATCTCAACAATGACTAGGAAGGTATAATAAGCTCAAAAATGATGAAATCTTTAGTGGAAGAGCTCCAATTACTCATACTACTACTAATCATTTAACCCATAACACCCTTCATCTTTTATCCAACTTTACTTTCTTTCACTCTATCTTATTCTATTTTACTTAAGCCTTATGATAACCGATATCAATCTTACAAACCTTAATCACCAACAAAAACCTTGGTCATCTTAGTTATCATATTTGCAAACTTTGATCATCGTATTTATTATCACTTATTCCAAACGATAATTGCCGTCTTTCACTTATCTTCCAAAATTTAAAATTTCCGAAAATATCAAAAAATAAAACTCGAAGACTTGTGAATTGATTGTAATTTTCTCTCGAAGACTATGGTTTCACAAGTACGGTGCCAACTATCAGAATTCTTAATTCAACAATAATATTCTTCTGAATACGACAGACAAGAGGAAATTTCCAATCTATCTGAAATTAAGATAGTGTCTCATACTTTTACTGCAGCGATGTTACATTATAATCATAAGACTTGCAAGCTAATCCAGATGTTGAAATACATAAATTAAGCCACATAAAAATATATTTGGGACAGGCAGGCAGATGAGATAGGGACAAGGATGAAATGTTCCCTTTTAGCAGAGGACAACAATGACAAATAAAACGTTCTTGAATTATTTCCATTATCAACCATTTCATTGTAATTGCCATAAGTTCGAATATTTAGTATGATAATGTTGCTGAGATCTGAATAAGCATAATCCTAACTAGATAATCGGAATTTGTGTTGTAGGATAGAATGAAAAATTGTTAAATCTAGAAACGAAAAAATTTTTTTCAAATTTGGTAAAGATACTAAAGGTTTGTTTTACAATGTGTAAAACAAAAAACTACTTTACAGCAAAAAAATATAAAGAATAATACAGTGCACACTAATGCACAACTAAATAAATATGTAATACAATAAATAAGCGAAATTCTTGATAGGAGTAGAGAAATACCATCGAGAATTGTCATCATTGCAACAGTTTTTAAACTGCCACCTGAAGGAAGGAAAGCAATAAGGTGGAAGTGGCAAAAATAAATATTTTACTTTATCTCATGACAATACTCACGATGAAGAATAATAAAACAAAATGAACAGAATTGAAACTCCTTGTTACGGCTAATTATAATAAAAGTTTATATTTAGCACCTTATACGTCATGTTTCATGAAATGTATCGATTGAATACCCGCAAGTCAAGAGTGAAACAATCTAATAAACGATTAAATTCGTGTGAGTCAAAATCATCATTACTATCATTGCTGTCATCAGAACCAGAACTATGCTCATCATCACTAATATCACCATTATCATCACCACTAACGTGTTCAGTTAGCAGAACTGAAGTATGTGTGTTGTTATCATTATTACCGACTTCTTCATGATTGTCAAACGAATTAATTGTTTCCATGTTATCATAGTTCACCGAAGAGATATTCACTGCATCATCTTCGCTGAATGCTTCGGAAAATGTCCCAAGCGAAACAGATGATGTATCACTAATTGATGCATCCAGTACGCTTGCCATATCTAGAGATACCTCTTTCAGTAAATAAATTAAAGCATATTTCCACTACCTTAATCTGTAATAATAAGCAATCAGTAGTACTTTGAAAATAATATATCCACAAGCTTCAAAATATCTATCAACATTACATCACGTATTAAACAACTAGGTTCGCATAAATCTGTAATTCTAAATAAATTAATACCAGAAGTTAGCAAAATTTTGTTAAGCAAAACAGATCATTCTAAGATATTGGTTAAAGTTTAACGACGATAACACTGACATCATCTTCGAATATGTGGAACCAAAATAAATAAGGTACCTGCATCACTCGTCTCGTGAAATTCTTCACTTTCTCCATATCCTTCTGTCTCTGTTTCAGACTCGCCATCTTCCACGGTAATCTCACTTGAGTCATCACTATCAGTGGAATCATCAATCAATCCATCTAAAATACGCACATATGATTAGTTTCTCCTTTCAACTTCATTCATTAATCTGTTTTTAAGGCTTAACAATTTCCGCTACAGTTTTACAAAATTACTCACGAATCCCATCTTCTGGATCACTGCTATAATCATCACTGTAATCCTCATTATCGTACTCTTCATCATTATTATGGAAGCCAGCATTAACTTCATCGATCTTTCCGGATGTCTGTAATGAAGGAACATTTATGTAAACAATAGACGAATTTATTGCCAGTAGAAAAGCATTCGCCTAATCAAAAATTGACCAAGTTAAAATTTAATTTAATGCAGCTTCTAAAAGAACCTTTTAACAAAGATCTTTTTCCGATATGCTGCATTTTCGTAGTGTAGCAATTATGATTTAAGCAATGTCGAAATACTGTGCCAATATAATCACATCTTTGGGACAAATCAAGAAGGCCCTGTGCAAAGCAATCAAATCCATATGAAATCATTTATCACTCTGACCAATAACTAATATACTAACCAAAATCAGTGAACTGCATCATAAGTCAAGGATGGGTGGTTCTGGATTATCAATATCTCCTAAATCTTTGTTCCCAGTCAAATAAAAATCATCATGAGAATATTCTAACTTCAAACAATAGTAAAATATGGATTTACAATAAAGATTACATTTGTTGTGGAAGCAGATTTGTTATTGTGATCCGCAGTAGTAGCAGTTGCCGAAGACCCAGCATCATTCATAGTTTTATCGTTACAGTTAGCGAAATATAAACGTTTCACGATATGCTTTGGTAATGTGCGTGCACGACATGTAGGACACTGTTCAGAGTGCTGCAATCTTAAAGTCGACTTACTGCTTTCTACTAAATTTTTTTCCTTCTTTTTTTTGAATTAATTCGCCTAAAAGTCAATAAAATGAATTACATATTTCGAATAACAGAATTCAGAACTATTTGGAATAGAATCCGTTACCTAATATTGGTTTAAAAGTGTACAAGATGTGATCGAATATAGACCAAACCAAACTAGGGTATGCTTAAAATGCCAATCATTTAATCACACTGAATGAGTATTAAAATACACGGAATTTAGTTGCTACTATCTCAAGACAATAATTCGATTCCATATGATCATTCAATATTACGAGCTATTAATCTTAATTGATAAAAAAGGCTCAAAAAAAAAAAAAAGAAAAAATCATACGAGAAGCCAACGCAGGACACATTTATAGTGAAATGTATGTCCACATGGTAGAGATGAAAAATTATTGATGCATAAATTCTGAGCACAAATTACACAGCTACCAATGCTACCATCCATATCTGCAGTATATTATTGCTATAAAAAAAAGATACTTTAACAAATATCAGACAATAGAGAACGAACGAACATAAATTCATTAAATTAATTTACCTATTTTAGATTGAAACATTTAATGTAACATCAACGATTGAACCCAATTTAATGAACAAATGATGCAGAATTGCTATTGTTTCGATATGTCAGTATTAATTAAAATTTCTGAGTGTCCTCGGTATTACAAATGTTCCATTCATTACATTTTTTGAAATCATCGAAAAATATTAATTTAATATGCCACTATATTAAGAACAAACTTAAAGGAATCGTCAAACTAATTGACGATGTACGATAAATGAATCGTTACCATCAATTAAATTGATAAATCGATAATCTTTAATTCAAGAAAGTAATGAATAATTCAAAATAACCATTCGCTGCCATTTCATGAATGAAGAAATTTATGAAAAATTTCGAAATTTGCGATGAAATTAGAATGAAAAGGAATAAATCGAATGTCATTTGATGAAAAACAAAAGGATGGTAAATGTCACATTTTCTCTCTTTCTCTCTTAAAGTGTATATGTATCGTAAAAACTTGGGATACATCTCAAATTGTAGGAATAAATAAATGGATCAGTAAGTTCGTAAGCTATATAATGTATAATATTACATTATGATATGAGGTCAACTCATCTAACCTTTTAGTATTCTGTATCACACAGTACTAACAGATCAAATCGTATAATGCGTAAAAATTCTAATACGATATATCATCATCATTAATGGTTTATTGTTGTTTGTTCTAGTAAAATGTTAAGAAAATCCATTATGATTATTCACAACGATAATATGAAGCACGCACATTTAACGAAATACTTGAGGAAATGAAATGGAAAGTTTTTTTTTTTTTTATCTCTCCTGACACTAGTTTTAGCTTGTTTAAAAAAGTTTTTTTTGAAATTTGTTTTTTTAGTTTAGTTTGAAAACATCTATAGTAATCAGATAATAAATGAAGCAAACAACATTAAAACTATCTTTGAATAGGTTTTAATCGTTTACTGCTTTTGTTGTATACATATACAAGTAGAGATGAAATATAATGCATATATTACACTGTAACAGAAAAAAGAAATGAAAACCGCTAATAATCCACCAAAAAAATCAAATATGAACAACCGGAATTTTGCTCTAAATATCAAATAAAATGGAATAGAGAAGATAAAATCATAGTTCAAATACAACCAAAAAAGAAAAAAAAAGTAGATAGCATTAATCTTCAAGTCCTGATTGAAGTACTAATCAACGATTAGGTTGCTAGGCAAATTACCCAGTGATATATAAAACTTATTTTCTTTTTCCCTTCCCAATAACGATTAATCTTCCTGAATATGGAAAACAAAATAGCCAATAATTATTAAAGCTTTTCCTTATTATCATAAGAGAACAAAAAAAGAACTACAAAAACATGAGTACTGCAGTAAATGATATGAAATCAAAGTAAGATAACAAATCATCATCCAAACATAACAACTTCAAAGAATGATTCATAAACAGTAAAACTTTCTTACCTTATCAGAAAGTATCTTTTTAAAGGTTTCCAGCTCGTATATACAGTTAAAAATTATGAAATATAGATTGAACTTGAAACAATATGATTTTGATCATGAATATTAAGCAAAATTGAGTATTTTCAATTTACAGCGATAACATCATCACTGATAATAAAATAACGCTAAGTTACGCTATACAAGCAATGTATAATCTTATGAATACAATGAATACACTCATACTATTAGAGGATTGCACGGAAGCATCTTTCAATATGTAAACTATAAATATCTGTCTCTTGGAAGTTACAGGAAATTTTAAAACATATTTTAAGGAATTCGTTTGAAAATCGTCGACTGGATCATTTTAAAGAAATGGAAGCAATAATCCAGACGTATTTCAAATGACAGTATTGAAATATTTTCTACTATCACATTAACAATCAAAAATGCAATCATTCAGTGCAGTATTGCAACCAGTGATGACAGTAAATGTATGGATAGATCAGGTAAGGATAAAAAACATTTTTCAAATAAAAAAAGACCAGTCGTCAACCACCTTTTTCAAACACTATTTTTTTTTTAGCATTTGAATATATGACTTACCCAGCCAAGACTAACACTCACGGACTGGTTAAAGTTACCAAAAATAATCGTCATTACAGATCTGGTACCAGATGGTCATATATTATTATCCCACTGCCATGAAAGACCCAGTCAGCTTTCGATGGACATTATCCTCACACTTTCGAAACACAATGCAACCATTGATTAGTGGAAAAGACTCAATGAAAGCTCCTCCGCAATTTATGTTATATTAAAATTACATGGCATCAAAATGAAATCGATGTGACTGCGCCTGTCGTTCGTGCTTATCAGCACGCCTTTCACGATAATGCAAAAATACTACCACCAATAAAAGTATCATACAGACTGATATTAATACCATCAGCGACTGCTTTATCAGCTGGAAATACAGAATGATTTATCTTTTAGAGGAAATAGAGAAGTAACGGAAAAGGATGAGGGAAAAGAATAGCATTTGATAAATGAACATTTAAAACCAATATAAAATGATATAAATGCATGTTTTGCTACTCAAGTTTATCTTTTCAAAGTAGATTAGGGTGATAAAAATGTACCAAATCTTCCCCTCCGTCATGAAAGAGAAAAATGTTCTTTTAACTCAAAATAAAAGAGAGATAAATTTTATCTTATCAATGAAGTAGATATTCCTAGCCATTATGCTGTATACAGCTTAAAATGAAAATTACTGGAAAAAAAAGAAAGTTACGAATTTTCTTTAATTTATATAAATTAGAAAACTGACTTTAATCCAATCCCTGATTTTGATTCTTTTTTCCAGCAACAAAGAAAATTGTTTAGAAAACTTCAGAAATTAGCTTTAGACATTTTAACATAAATTTCTACAGTTAAAATTCATACCAAAAATTTGCTACAATCATGCATTACCGTACTACTAAATGTTGAGATTTTTCATTGGAAAAACAAACCTGACTAGGAGTAAGATAAAGTCTACTCTGCCAGTGAATCCCATCACCTTTAGGTGGAACAACAATCAGTCTTGAATTTGGCACGATTTGTTTCAAGTAATAATGTTGATTCCCGTAATACAGACCACCCGTCAATGGCATACGTGGAGAGCCAATGTGCACTGCAACATTTCGCAACAATTTCATACTTTTTCATGCAGGCTACAAAAGGTGATGACAAAATCCATTGGATTTAACAGCAAAGAAATGAAGGTATTCAGTAGTCTAAAACATAAAAACTACTAGTGACAATGTCAATCACCATTTGACCGTGCAAAAAAAAAAAAGTCGCCACTCACAGTACAACTTTAAGTCTTCAAGATTTTTAACAATCGGCGAAATTTGGTTTACAAATGTAAATCCTGCTTCCGAAGACATAGTATTTGAACAAAAAAAAAATCGCTACTGAAATAGAGTCAAGAAATGGTATATGTTTATAAGCAAATAAAGCAAATGGTGTATGTTTAATGAATAAACTTACCGTAATCGACAAAATTTGGTGACCTTCCTAAACCAAATAAAGCAAATGGTGTATGAAGTGCTCGATGTGTTGTTTGAGGCATCTGACATTGTGAGCCGACCTGATCGTGACCCCATGAGTCGGACATACTGAACATTACGCAAGCACCATGCCAAGCAATTCCAGTTCCAGAAAAAAAAAAGAAAATTCAAGATGAAAATAACTATACCGTATGTTTATCTAGAATTCAACAAGGATACAGTTTTACAAATCATAATAAAAAAGTGAAGCTGACTTATTATACACTGCTCTAGAGGTCCTTGGATTAGAATTATCATTGAATTTACGGAAAAGTAAATAGTGGAAAGGTGGAGTACCAATTTTTGTCTTCGTAGAACCACAGAACTGATCACATGAGCTTGAAAATACTTGCACTTTCAGGAACGTTGTATCACCTTTATCTTCACATCTGATGAAGTCAACAGCCATACTCTGATCAACATCTTTATATTCAAGTAGTACATCAAGAGTTCCATCCTCCTTCAGATCAAAAAACGACGCTAACTGAATTTGACCTAAGGAAACATCAGCAGGCTGAATAAGCCTGGGACTTGTTCGCAATTCAAATCTCCTGGAATAAATGAAATATCCATTAAAATATGAGATATTTAAACGTCTTAGAACACTGTCGTTTGTCCTTTTTTAATCCTTTTACGGAAAATGCATATTCCTAATAATGGATTTTAAAAATCTCATGACGCTGAACCAAGTAACAAATTTTGACGGATATACCTGGAAGCATTAGAAATACAATCAGTGCATGGTACATTTTCCAGGATCATTGGATTTTGCGTTTTCTCTCGAACAAGTGCAATTAAATCAGGATAACCATCCAGTGAAAAGTCTCCAACACGAAAAACAACATTTCCTTCATCTTTTTTGGATACCAGATCGGAACCCTGGAAACTATGCCTTTCACTTTCCGAATAATTTTCCTTGTTCCTATATTTACATCTATGAAGTTTTTCTTTGGAACAATATAGCACATTCAGAAATCAAAAAGTAGGACAATTAGGACATCGAAATTATATCATTCTGTACATAAGGCGGATTAAAAAAAAAAACAAAAAAGGAAAAATGAAAAGAGAAAAACAAAAAGGGAATACAAAATTATTTCGATTTAAAGTCGCTTTAATTCAATTTTTTTCCTTTGAAAATAATTCAGCAAGCACAAGAAAAAAAGACATTTTCAGTAAGGTTTTAAATAAAAAAAAAGAAAAATTATTTGTCAGGATGCTAGCGTCTTCATGGAAAAACATGTCGAACAAAATAATAAAAAAACATATCATTCACCTCAAGACCAGTAATATGGAAATCTTGCCATGCTCCGATATAATGATTCCACATATTGATAACTACCACTTTTCGACATGTTGCATCAGCACAACATGGTAAACCAATATCCACAACTCCATCAGCATCAAAATCGGCAAATAATACGGCACCAAAGTAATTGGTAGGACATGATTCAACTGGTAAATCAGCGATAAGCTCATGATCTAACTCCCACAATTCACTAAACCAAATGATACAAGATTTTAAAAAAGATGTTCAAAAGAAAAGTGATATATAAATCACGAGAAAACAATAGAATATTCGCGGTAAATACTCTTCTAATTTTCCGCAATAAAGTTCTCTGTCAAAATAAATAAAGAATACTCCGAAAAGGAAAAGATGGTATTATAAAAACGACCTGAAAGTCTATCAAGATGCGATTCAAAAAAGATATTATAACAAGTCCCACATGTTGTATATGGGTACACCCCATTACAAACATCTTAATAGACGTTAATTTTTGCCGCAAAATCATTAGTTTTTTGTCGTAATGCGTAATAAGAGCTAACGAAAGTAGAAAAATAAAAGAATTCCATCTTCTTAGGATTTGAAAAAAACTAATTTGTTAATTATGGCAATTAAAAGAAAATTCAAGCTTTTAACAAATGAATAAAGCTACAATTGCTGAATACATTAAATCAGCACTGTTCATTGTAAAATTTCAACAAGTCAAGTAAAATTAATATTTTGAATTTGAAATGATACTTTGATCTTCTTCTCCATGCTTGCATCTTTAAACGGTTGCTAATTTTGATACCAAATATTATTTCGGCACTTAAATCACCATTTATATCAACAAAGGAATGCAAAAAGCGTTCATAAGGGATAATATCGTGTTTATTATCAAATCCACTGCAATAAACTTCGATTCGAAAAAAAAAGTGCGAAGAAAAAATGTAGAAACAAATACTCCCGCGCTTTTTCCACAAAAACACGTAATATCACTGGTAAAGTAGGTACTGATTTTCAGACGACAAACGAAAAGAAATTTTTGCACCAATTTTCGCTTTAACTTAGTCAAGTAACTTACCTGAAAAAATGTTCGCAAGATGAAAAATTTCCTCCCGCTGAGCCCAGCTGACAAAATAAGGACTTGTTATTCCGAAATCCCACAACATCACTGATACCATCACCATTAACATCCATCACAGCTAGTTCATCCAATAACGTTGCATTTAAAAGAACTGGTTTGTAAGCACTATATGAAAATATGTACACAGTCGATTCATAACCTTTTTTGCCATTAGGCTGAAAAACGGGAATGATTTTCTAATCGTTCACTATGATTACAATTCTTCAAATATCTAACTAACACATCACTAAAAACGAAAAGTAGATCTCATTCTCAGAAGATGTAAGCTTTTCTTTTTACATCAAAATAAGACCTAAAGGTCTACGAATATTGTACAACTCGTGTTTTTGAAAGATCGGTGAATGATATTAGAATCATAAACACTACTAGTTGCGAAATGAACCAAATTCACATATGGCTATTCTAAATTTTATTTCATATCTATAACGAACAATTTTTCTCGAAACCAGTATATCAGGCACTGAGTCACCATTGAAATCGCCAACTGCGCATGAAACAATCTGTGATGACCCCAGGTTAATGTTTTGTCCTGCTTCGGAAAATTCGCCATTTTCATTCTACAACGAATAAAATTTCGTAAGCATCATAATATTACAGAGAGAAAAAAGAGAGTTAAGCAAAACTAAACGAAAGAACAAATGTGGAAAAAAGGCATTCATTGAAGCAACAAAGACGAGGAAGATTATATGTATCTCATTTCTCTAACTCTGCTGGTTTAAATGTATCCATCACCTAATACCTCAAAAAACGTCCAACATTTCAAAAATGATTCTCCATTAAAAAATAATTGATTTCATTGATTTTAGCTGAGGTTAATGATGAGACAATCAGGAGGAATAGGTCAAAGAAAAACAAAATGGAGAAGAAAAGGATAAAATGGATGTAGAATGAAATAGCAGTGCATCAGTGAAGTAGAAAGGTGTAAAGTAAAATAAGATCAAATGAAGTGAAATAAAATGGTGAAACAAAGCTGTATGAAGCGAAGGAGAAGAACTGTCAGGTTATTGGAAATAAATTAAAAACCCAATTTTCAAACAGAAAAATAAAACCAAACCTGAAAGTAAGTCTTCAATCGATCATGATCCTGGACAATGATATCAGTATATAAATCGCGATCAATGTCACCATAAGCACAAACACGACCTTTCAATTTTCCATTAACATATACGGCATGCATAATCAAACAAAGAGCAACCTGTGGTATACTCCACGGATGTTTCACCGAAAACCACCGCATTACCTGAAACACCAATCATGTGGTCCTTCGTGACATATAAGTGTCACCAGATATTTCCAGTCCAACTTCAGAATTGCGCTGGTACCTTATCAACATCATGGGTTATCATTGTGTGAGGCCGAACCGTGGATCATTGAGTGTCTCCTGAGAAAGCGAAAGCCGATCCGTCGATGACCGATCGGCAGAGGTCACTATGACCCGGAACAGAGAAGTGACACTCAAAGCGGTGACAGAACGAGCTGTTATAGCATTATGACCTGTTACGGTTAAGTGAAGTGAGGTTGAAGGCAATGCTATGCAGGAACGTCCATTGATTTCTTTTCCTTTTTTTGCAAAAGATAGACTTTCAAGTCTGTTGATATGAGGTCTTATCTTACCGTCCCGAGGCATGTCTATTAATCAGTTTGGAATTTCAGTTATCTTGCAGTAGCTATTTGCAAACAACTCAACAATGGGTTGGCGAATAGAGTGGTGGGTATTTACTAGGTTGACACCACTTCCTGCGACTTTCCAAATTAAGAAGAGACATATAAAACGGCGAGATTCTACCGAGTTTAACCGCTATGAGCAATTGCCGATCTAGATAAAGTTTTAGATGAAATTCTCTCGTTCTTCAAGACAATGTACTAGTAATGTAACAGAAAATAAACGAATAGCAAGTAACTTTTACCATCTCATGAATCATGAATTCCTCTAACTACATATAAATCCACGGTTATGCCCGCTTTATATTGATTTGCTGTTTTCATCCCGCCTTCCTGACACACATGCCCACACACCTGAGTACACGAATTACTAAATTACGATTTAAATAATAGACCGACAGGACTACAAATGTATTTCCTTTATTTCTGCTCATTTCAACAACCATAATAACAAAAAATGGAAAAAAAAAACAATACCAATGCAAAACAATAATTTTCCGAGACCTCAGTTTGAAGGATTAATACAGAACACACTCAAGTTTTTTTCTCCCCGTAGGGGCTCAGTGATTCAAAAGTATGAAGTTTCATTTTCTTTCTCCTCAGAATTAAATGTAATGTTTAAAATTCTACTTAAAAATGCAATAAAATATATGCTGTGCAGGTCAAATTTTCAATCAAATCATTCAGTTTTTTAACGAAGTAAATTACAAGTCCAGTTGATTTTTAATAAGGGTGATTCGAGCCGGATGATAGCATCTGGATGTAATATTCCGGAATAATACAACACCATGATAAAGTTGTTTCAAAGCCGGTAAACAACAATACCCGATAGCAAAGCCTCTCCCATGTACGAATGAATAATCACCGCGTACAATCCTGCCAATAATAGGCCTGCAAATTGAGCACTCATCTGCTTCTTCAATTAATTATCAATTTTTCCACATATGCTAAGAAAAATATATGTCTCAATGCACTATAAACGAAATTTGCTTGCGGATAATGTTGCTCGATTCCAATACAAAATCAGAATAACGGTAAGAAATTAATGAGAATCTGACTATTCGGTAACATAACCAGTGATTAATTTGAACTCGAATATTTCTCTAATATTGCAGTTGCTTACCTGGAGCAGCTGCTATTGTATTTTATGAATTCCATTTCTTCCTTTTCCAATTCTTCCGTACCACTTGTTAGCTGTTTAGAAGTGGAAGTCCCCTGATTATTTTCCGGATTTTTTCTCAATCGTTTGGCTGCTTTCGCTTTTTCTCTTTTCTCTTTCTTTTTCCTCTTAATTTTTTGCTTCCTGTATACATAATTTAATATTTGATTGCAGGTTTTTCTTTCTTTTCATCGTCTCATCCTCATTGACAAAGTGATGATTCACAATAGGAGTACATGAGCCCACCAAGAACATAAAGTTTCATCGTATTATTTACTTCGGAGTAAAATTTAAGATGAGAATTAAAATGAAACTCGTAAAAAGAATTGTTCCTATTATGAAATACGTCACAAATAGACCAGAGGAAAAAGGAATCTACAAATAATCAAAAATTTATAAAAAAGTTAAAGTTTACTTATACTGATATCTGATTTCCTTTTTTCTCAAGGCTTACCGTAGC